AATGGAAGATTTTAATAATCACATTACTAAATTTTGATCCCTGAAATCTTTGGTAATACCAATGTTCACTTTGTCTGATTTTGTTGCAGTATGCCCCACATAAGTTTTAGAGATGTTTTAATTTATGAACCAATCTGAGAATTCTGGAAAAGGTGCTGTTGACCAACACAAAGAAGCTACACAATATTTTTCTGAACCAAAAAAAAAGTTTGAAGAGTATACAAAATGCGGAGAACATAACCAAAGTTTATGTACATGTCTGATCAACCTAAAAAATTGTAGCACAAATTGCTAAAATGAAACTAAGGAGTTGAATATTCTAGATTATATTTCTAGATAACCAAGAGCTAACTTTTATACTGCTGAACATCAAGAAGCACATTCAAAATCCTATTTGAAAAGGTCAAATCAGAGTTGATCTGTAATGCAAAAAGGCCAATTAGATCACTCACCATCAACATTATTAATTCCCACATTGAATGATTCGCGCAAGGTCCCTAATTTGGTAGTCACCAATTAATTCAACGATAGATTAATCCGGGGTGACTAACAGTGGACACATGAATTCTTTACTTTATTCGGCATAAATGTAGATCTTATGCCAACAACTAAACTTTAAACCCGAATTGGAAAACTGTACTACTTTTCGTGTGAGTTTTTCAGCTGTTTTTCATAAAGACAATAGTGTGATAATTGACGGCGTGTGACAAATTAGTGATTACAAAAACAGATCTGGAGATTTGGTTGGCTAGTTATAAACCTTTTCAAATATAAAAAATATAAAAAATATTATTTTTTAAAAAAAAAAATACAATTTTTTTGAAAGAATCAAGGCGCGACAATTCAAGATTGTCACCTAGTGTATCCATCATTAATTATAGTTATGGCACGTGTAGCAAGTCAAAATTTGTTTGAAATCCTTGGTGACGATGAAGATATTGAGGCAAAGGTTGAATTATCAAATGATACCACACCAACCAAAAATGAAACCGTAGTTGTTCAGAAACATGTTGATAGATCTCGTGCAAGTCCAAAAGAATCAAGACTTAGACATGAATATCCTCAATTTGGAACTTCTGACAATAGATCTGGTAAACATATATATATATACACACCTTTATTTATTAAGATTTAGCTTATGAAAGAAAAGATTCAGTATTTATAAATCATTAGATTATATAAAATAAATTTGTTAAATTTATATTAAAAAAAAAAATATAAAAATACAAAATTAAAAAACCATCATTAAAAAAAGGACCTCGTGATCTCAATGTAGGACGTCGTCACCAAGATAATGACAATAATTACAACAACAACAATTATCAATCAAGAAGTTCACGTGGCTCCCGTCCTGGTGAACGAGATAGAGGTCGTGGTGGTCGTCGTGGTGGTGGTGGTCGTGGTGGTCGTGAATTTGACAGACATAGTGGTTCCGGAAGATAGTAAGAAATATAAATATTTTAAAATAAATACTTAATTTACTTATTTACATTTATATCATCATAGTCACGATAAATATTTTAATATTATAGTAACAATGAAAAAAATGAAAGTAAAAGTTGGGAATCCAATAATGCTGATTGGGGAAATAACTATAGAACAAATAGCATTGACAAAATTGATAATAATGATAATAGCAATGCATTTTCTTCTGGTTGGGAACCAGACAATAATGGCAATGCTGCTGATGATAGTAGTGCTTGGAATGTTGCTGAATCTCAAGAACCAACTAATGAATGGGGATCAAACGATCAAAATGGTGATGGTGGTGATGGTGGTGATGGTGGTGGTGGTGGTAGTGGTGATTGGGATACAGGTAAAGTTGAAACTCCATCATGGGAAATACAAGATGAACCTACATTTGAGGCTAGCGGAGCTGATAATAAAAATAATAAAGATCTTGGTGAAGATGAGGCCGCCACTAAACCTGTTGAAACTGAAGAAGTCGTTAAAACACTGGAAGAATATTTATCTGAAAAAGCACAAAAAGTTCTTGATATTTCACTTCCTGAGGTAAGAAAACCAAATGAAGGTGTTGATGATAGTCAATGGAAAGACGCCGTACCTCTTGAAAAGAAAGAAGATGGAGATATTCTATTTTCTGGAAAGGTAGATTTTTATTTTTTTATTCTATATAATTGGTCAAGATATTTTTTTAACTTAGATTAATTATTAAAAATAAACAATAGGAATATTCTTTTAAAATCAAGAATAAGACTAAAAAATCAAAAAACTTTTTGGAAATTAAACCAACTTTTGATAAGCCCGTAGGTTTTCAACGTGGAGGTCGTGGAGGAGGTGGTCGTGGTCGTGGCCGTGGAGGAGGCGGTGATAGAAATCGTGATGATTATGACAATCGGGATAATCGTAGAGGTGATGGTGGTGGTGAGAGAAGAAGTTATGATAATAATCGTGATAATCGTAGAGGTGATGGTGGTGGTGAGAGAAGTTATGATAATAATCGTGATAATCGTAGAGGTGGTGGCGGTGGCGAGAGAAGCTATGATAATTATAATAATAATCGCAGAGGTGGCGAGAGAAGCTATGATGGTTATAATAATCGCGAAAATCGTAGAGGTGGTAATGGTAATCGTAGCAATTATGTTAATATTGATGACCAAGGAGCATTTCCAAGTCTCGGTACTGTGTAATTGTAATTTCAAATTTATTATCAAAATGAACAATTATTATTTTTTTTTTTTCTTATGACTCCCTAAAATTCAATCAATTATATATTATATATTATTATTTTATTATATATTATTATTTTATCATATAAATTATTACATATTGTTATTACATATTGTTATTGTTATTATTATTATTGGATGTATAATTTCGAATTTGGTATCAGCGACATGGAAACAAAAAAAAAATATATTTATGTTGCTTCGGTAATTCCTTCCCGTTATCTTTCTTACATGTGTGCATGTATGATGAATGATCGTTTTACCGGAACAAACAAGTACCTTATAGTAAGAGAGGACTTTGTTAAGATATTTATTTAATTATTTAATTATTACATTTGATGGAACACAAAGAAATTTTATTTTCATCAAGTCTTTTTGATTTAATAGACCAAATCTCGCGCAAATAGCCATTGTCTTCCAAATTATTTCCAATTAAAAAATAAAAGGTTAAAGTTTCTTTTGATATTGTATAGGAAGAGTTGTTAAAAATGGTGATGACTAATACTTGTTTTAGACTAAACGTTTCTTATATTGTAACCTGCTTCCATGAAACAAAAACAAACAAAACATACTTGACTTTGAATAACATGCAAAGTTCATTTCTCAATTCATTTATCTTCTCGTTATATTTTCTTCGATAACTTCCATTTGATCTTTTGTTCGTATTTTTTATTAGAGGTTTTTATGCAAGAATGATAAACAAATTGCGACTGCAAATGAAAAATCAGATATACCATTCATCCGGAAAACAGTAACAAATATTATTGTTGTACGTGTATTATATGCAATTGTAGGGATTGAGCAAATAAATTTGCATATTTTTTTGTTGCAATTGTAGGTATATTATTCACTTAATCCCTACAATTGCATATTAATATAATATACATACGTACAATATTTGTTACTGTTTTCCCGGATGTTGGTAAAAATTAGGCGAGCTTATGGGTGAATATAACTTCTCGTAATTATGTTCAGTATAATTTAAGAAGTCTTGTATATATAGAATAGACACACTTATCGATGCTATCCGAGTTAAATCACAGAAGGTTTTACGACCACACCTTCACCTCCTCAAATAATTTTTAAATTTTTCTCATAGGCTTTTAGATTTTTATTATGATGATAGAGTGATTTTTAATAAATGGAGCACATCGAATGAAATAGTTCCTAATAAAACTTTGCAATAAAGGACGCGAACAAGTTTTAAGTGTATAACACTAATACTAGTACGTTTTTGATTCTGAGTTCTCTCTCTATCACATTGATTGTCATAATATGACGATCATGGCGTGTAACTTTATTAATATAAGTTTAAAAGTCGTATTAGTATATATATTTGTGTGTGCGTAAAAAATGTGTTATATAGTTTGGTCATAGTAATGGTGGAAATTCGTTTTGATCGACATTCGAAATTATCTTTGTGTAATAATAAAATAATTAGATTTTAATGGCTATTGTCATTAATTAATTAGTGGGAGAGTTTATGATAATGCCATTAAAACTAATGTAACATTTTAAAATATCCGATTCACTGATGATGTTATTGCTATTAATGTCCTTGCGTTTCAATAATTAATTATCTTCGTGTATAAAATAAGAATATAATAAATAGTAAATCAATGAAATATTGTAATATAAATTCACATTAGAAGGATTTCACTTCCTAACTATATAGAAATTTGATTTACATAATCATGATATTAATTTCATCCATAAATAGCTTTTAAAATAAAAATTCTTTAAGAAGTTTTAACTTGTAACTCGAAATAACAATCACATAATAATAATAATAACAACATATAAATTCAAATTAAATTATCATGTCAAAACCAAAATTTAAGTGCTGTCCCATTTGATTAGTTGGTTACCGGTAACACAAGGATAACTACTACTTGAGTGTTGTGCAATTTGTGGTATTGATTGATTTTATAATTGCATTTGAATTTATTGTTATTTTAATTAATTATTTTAGCACAAGTTCCAGGTTTTTAACTTACAATAGACACATCTATTCGCTAATGGACAAATACAAATTTTCCCTGAAAATCCAGTCTGGAAAATTTATAAACTGGTAATAAATGTCCCAACTTAAAAAAGTAAATAAGTAAAACAAAAGAATATTTTTCAGTCAATCAGCCTTTGTAACAATCCAGACGTTTAGAGGATGTGTTATCTATAATTATTGATGACTTTTAGATAATCGTCACCATCGAACATTGATCGAATCACCAAACCAATCCTATGTGACATGGGCCGAATATGAAAAATTAATTTTTATATACTTTTTTAAAATTTGCACTAAATACCATTATATCATTTATCTGGTGTACATAAAATTAAGTTGAAATCTATTTTGGTTTCAAGATCTAGTCTTTAGGAGTTGTGATTGAATCCAACACATTGTTTAAATGGTTTTTTAAACCATCTATTGATAATGGTGTCATGTTTCTTATTTTAATAAAGTTTTAACATACAACTCTAAATATATACCAGTGTATGATGTCTTTCATAATTATAGTCTAGCTTATCAAACAAGACCATGCTACCAACTGGATTTAATTTATTGTCAAATTCTACTAGTGCAATTTGATCATATTTTATATAGATATAGATGGGATTCTATAAAAATTTCTTAGATGTATTAGAATGTATTAATATATACAACATATATATTTAAATACACTTACCATAATATTGTAGAAGGTAAATTGGCCCAACTTAATAAATCTCTTAATTCGTGATTCATCATCAGTGAAGGAAAGAATCTACATAGGATAAGCACCATAGTAAAAGTAATTAGTGTCCATTATCTGGAACTGCTGCAATAGCATAATATTTTATATGTAGATTTGTACTTTAAATTTTACTAAATGAAACCCGAGTTACTGGCTATCCTTTTAATTTAATTACATACATAATCCAGAATTGTTTTGCCCAAAAATCAAAACAAATATTAGATCTTTCATTAATAATAAAAAATATTCGGAACTCGTAATAATAATTATTATTATTGTTATTATATATATATACAAGGGCCAAACCAAGAAAATTGCATGCTTACTTGAGGATATATAAAAATTTTTTAACTTTTACAAAGGCCAAAATCATGAAAAATTGCACACGAATAATTGATTGATCAGCTTTGAATTATTATTTTTATTTAACAAATAAAATATTATAGTTGTGCCTGTTTTTTAAATAGTTCCTCATTAAATCGATATTTTTCATGTTCTGCACGTTTTTCTTCCTAATGAAAAAAACCATACGTGCACATATATTATTATTATAGATATATATATATGTTTAGTAACATTCATTTATTTCATTTTTTAAAAAAAAATTATTAATTATAGGTATTACCATTGAAACCTCATTATCACCATAAACCAATACAACATTTGGGACAAGTTTTTGTATGATTTGTTGTGTTGATTTTTGTTGTGTTGTAATAGCAGCGTTAGTAATAGAGTTAGAAGATGACAGATCAGATAATATTCCTGCGGTATCTCCCGATGATAAAATATTAGGACTGGAAACAGTTTGAATTGCATTATTATTGCTAGCAGTTGTAATATTTGTGGTTGTTGTTGTTGATGCCATTGTTGGGTAACCGGCAGTAAAAGGTTGACCAGAGGCAGCATGTGGATTATGGTGAAGATGAGGATAGATTTGTGGTGACGAGGCAGCGGCAGTGGCAGTGGAAACATTTGAAACTATTGGACGATGTGGAAATACACTAGTTGCAGATGGTTGTTGATTCGATGGAACGTACGAATGTTGTGTGGCACCACCATACAATGGAGTTGCGTTGACTGATGATATTGGTGGACGCCACGTTTGTCCAGGAACAATGCTTTGATGACATTACAAGAAAAAAATATTTTAATAAATATATAGATATATATGTAATAAAGATAAACATATTTACTTTGGACGATATGGATGATATGTATTAGGTCTTTGATAGAAGTGACTATATTGATGAGGCATTAATGATGATGCAATGGCTTGAGATTGCGAAGTTGGATAAGCAGGTGAAGAAAAGGAGAAAGGTTGTTGCTGTGCAGCGGCATTAATAGTAGCATTGATAGTAGCAGCTGCTGCAGTAGTAATTGAAGGAGCATTTTGCATCATAACTTGATGTTGAGCAAGACGTTTTTTAATTTCTTGACTGGAAAATTCAACTGGCTCTTCCATTTTATTCTTTTTGATTGGTTGGCCACTTTCAATTGCTTGTTGATGAGCTATTAAATCTTGTTGTGGAATCCCTTCCATACCGAAAATTTCAACATCAGTAGAATCTCTTCCTTTGTTTGCATTTGGAACTCTGTTTTTAAATTAATCAATCAAGTTAAAAAAAGACGAGATTGTTATTATTATTATTTAGTTTTAAGAAAAAGTGTTAATTAAAATTACAAATCACACACTATTTTTTAACTAACTTTATTATTATTTTTTCATATTTATATATATAATTATATCAGCTTCAAAATTTAAAAAATTTGATAAATAAATCATTCCATAAATATTAAAAAAATTAAAGATTAAAACAAGTCTTTGATTAACGAATACATACTTATCAATTGTTTCTTTATGTACTTGAGCAACATGCACAACCATACCACCCGCAGTATTAAGTTTTTTATTACACTGTGGACACTTAAAATGTTTCGCCTTTTGATGTTGAATCAACACTTTTTCATCTTCAAAATCTCGTTCACAATACCTGTCATCGGTATTTTTTTAAAATTTTTAAATACTTATTATATTATAATATGCATATGAATACTTGGAAACATACCAACACCAAGGACGAATAATGATTTTCTTGTTATTTTTTCTCTTACCCATTTTTTTAAAATTTTTTTTTTTTAAGGAAAAAAAATTTCTGTAAATCAATAATACTTTTTGATATGTACACAACACCACACATCAGTAAAATCACGTTATTAATTTATTTGTTTTGATTTTTAAAAAAAATGTCATCTCCGCGTTACAAACGTTCGTCAGCTAAAAGACAACAACCTTTTACACAACAACAACAACAACCACAACGACAACAGCGAATAGCCGATTTCTCTGATGACGAAAATAACGATCCTTTTATTATTCCAAGAGCTGCTTCTTCTTCTTCTACTACACCGACTTCACCACAACGCTCCAAACATTTTCAAAATATAGAACATCCTTCAAAGGTAATAAAAATAAATAAATACACACAAAGTCAAGCAACCTCAAACGGATGCCATTATTGGTATTATGGGGGGTCGTGCAATTTAAATTGGTTTATTATTATACAATAAATTAATAAAATTAAATTGTCATGTCAAAATTATATGGGCATCAAAGAAACAAATAAATAACGCGTATATATATATATATATATATATATATATATATATATATATAATTATACTTAGAGATCTAAAGTAGATAAAGAACTTTCGATAAAAGTTGGAGCTAGTCCAACAAAAAATAACGATAATAATTCTCCATTTGATTCACGATTTAATTTTACTTCGCCATTCATTGGAACAACTCAACAAGCATCTCAAGGTATGATGATATTTTTACTCGTGTTCATACTTATTATATATTTATATAAAGGTATATTGGCATTACTAATTGACTGATTGATTATTGATTAATAGAGGCTCGTATGAAAATCTGGGACCTTGAAGCTAAAAAAAATAAAAATGAGACCAAAATTAAAGTAATTGAAACTGATAAAGCAGATCTTGAACTTAAAATTGAAGGATTAAATGTTAAAATCAAGGTTGTTAAATATTGTAATATTTATATATAGTAATAATAATAATAAATTTGTTATTATTATTGTCTCCATTATTATTCCCAATTAATATATTTATATTTAGATTTTGGAGAATAAACTTAGAACAACTACTCGATTAGAAAAAGATACATTGACTAAATGTCATGAATTAGAAAAAGAAAATTCTAAACTTCGAGTAAATAAATAAATAAATATTACCATTTTGAAAGAATATTAATTTAATTTTAACAAACTAACTTGATTTGGGGCTGTGCTGTATGGCGTATGTGGGAATAAAAGACGGATTCGCACACAGAAATTCGAAAACTTCAGAATGAAATTAATATGCTTACACAAAATCAATTGAGTACAAAGAACGAAAGTCGTACAAAAGAGAGTGATTTGGTTAATCAAGTTCGTATCTTGGAAGCAGAAAAAACAGATTTACAATCGCAAATTGGATATCTTGATGATCAGGTTTTTATTTAAAAAATAATTTATATTTGTACATATATAAATGATAAACCACTAATATGACAAGTTATTTATAGATCACTTCATATTATAATAGAATATTATCTAAACAAAAACTTTTATCATCCACTCGAGAACAATTGACAGAAACAGAAAAAAAATTAAGATTTTACAATACACTTTCGCCTCAATTAGACAGTGTTGAGTTACTTAAAAATCAGATAAAGGGTAAATTAATTACATTATTAATTAATTTTATTGTTATTAGATTTGTTTATTGATTTATTATTTTTTAAATTATAATAAAAATGTGATAGATCAATTAGATCATATACAAAAATTGGAAGAGAAAAATCGAGAGTTGGATAATAAAGTTAAACATTATAAAGAGGCTTCGCCAGGAATTGATATTTTACAACAAAGGCTCGATGAAACAGAACACCAAATTTCTCAATTGAGTGTATTACGTAGAAAAGCAGCGGTTTTGGAAGTAGAAAATACATCATTAAAAAATGAAAAGGCTGAATGGTATGACGACGATGATGATTAGGATGATTTCTAAGATTTGATTTGCTAATTCACTACTACATTTCCTCTCTTCCTTCTCCTTCCTTCTCCCTCCGAAAATAATATAGGTCGAACCATCTTGATCAAGAAAAGGATAAATTAAATATTAATTCGCCATATAACCTTTGTAAAGAGCTTGCATCACGAAGAACAGAAATTCAAATATTAAAAACGCAGATTCAAAACTTTGATGAACAATTAAAAAAAAAAGATATTGAAATTTCAGAGAAAGGAATTCGAGTAAGTTTATAAAAAATTTTCTTGTAAAATAGTCAGTAGTAGTCGTAGTAGGAAGTTTATAATGAACGGACAATCTCTCATTTATTCATTAAATCATATGTGATTTGTTAGATCAATCAAACACAAGAGAAATGTGATTTGATGGATTCTAAACATGCCAAAGAAATGGAATCATTGAAACAAGATAACCTATTACTCAGGAAAGAAGTTGAAATGTTGTCAGCAAGTTTGGTGAATATAATTTTTTTTGGGATTTTTGTAAATATATATAAATATTGATATTAATTAACTCTCTTGTGTATAGAAATCTTACGAAGATGAGGAGAAACTTTTGCAAATCCATCGTAGCGCATGATAGAAATACATTAATATAAATTTAGCGTGTGACATTTGATTTTCGTAATAGTAATAAACATCTAATCTCAACCACCAATCATAGTGATCTTTTTTTTTTACCCACCAAAAAAAAAAAAAAAACAGATGTTAATTTTTCGTAATTTATATAAAAAAAATAAAACCAATTTCATTTTTAAAAAACCAATAATTAGAAATATGAGTAGTAATAATAATATTAAAGCAGTTTCAACTAATAAAGCTCCAAGTGCAATTGGACCTTATTGTATGTAATCAATTAATGAATGGTGATGACGATGATAAATATTTTATTGTTGATAATATTTACTTATTCCTTTTTTTTTAAGCGCAAGCAATTATTGCGAATGATTTTGTCTTTGTCTCAGGACAAATTCCTGTTGTGCCAGAAACCGGTAATATTATAAGTGATGATATTAAAGAACAAACGGTAATGAAAGAGGGAAAGCATCGTCGTCATTACTATTATGATATTAATAATTGATCAATTATTTAGGATCAAGTACTTAAAAATTTATCAAATGTTTTACAAGCTTCTAATTCCTCACTTGACAGATTAGTAAAAACAACAGTATTTATTAAAGACATGAATGATTTTGCAAGCGTGAATGAAATTTATTCCAAAGTAATTAATTCATATATAAAAAAGTTATGATAATAATAAATAATTTACTAATTATTATTAAAATTCTTCAAAATAGTTTTTTACTGATCATAAACCTGCTAGGGCTTGTGTGGAAGTTTCGAGATTACCCAAAGACGTTAAAGTCGAAATTGAAGGAATTGCACTTGTTTAAAGGAACAAGAGAGAAATTATATTAAGTATTTTTTTATTTATTAAATTCAATTTTATTTAACATATTTGTATATATATTTGTATATATATTTTATATATATTTATATATAATTATTCATAACAAAAAAAATCTCTTAAATATAAATAAAATATCTATTATTTTGAAAGTAATATCATAAATTTATACACAAAAATAATATTACAACTTCCCAAAAAAATAAAATACAAAATTAATTATTATTATTAAATATATAGTATGAATTGGTCGATTGGATTATTTATTGTATCTATGTAGCATCTATTTATTACGTCTTTTCACTTTTTTTATACCAGATTTAATTGATCGTTTTTTGTTTGCACCATTTTTGACAGTGAATCTAACACAATCATCTTGAGCTCCGCGTTGAGCGACAGGCATCAATGTAGGTTGATGACCAAACGAAGCAGTCATTGTGCAAGCTCTATAATAACCAGGATCTAAACCCTCTTTTTTCTCACTTCCAACTTCTACACTTAAAATATCATCGACAGCTTCGTCATTCAAACCTTTGAAGAATGCAAAAATTCTTGGATCTGGTGCTTGATCATCGCCATCCAATTTTTGTATGGTTACGTGACTATGACCTTGTATGAGGCCATTTTTGTCAAGAGTTTGTGGAAAATCGTAATATTCCTTAGCTGGATCATCGAAGAAGCCGGTGTGCATATTTAAAATTAGTTGTTTGAAGGTGAAATTTTTATTTGCTTCAATAACATCGTTATTTTTTGGAGAAATAATTATAGTTGTCACCATGTGATTAAAATCTGGTATTTCACCCATAAAGGTTTCTTGACATACACCATTTTTATCCTGTGTGCCATTTCCTAGAGTTCTGCCTGATTCTTGAAACGATAGCGAACATACATTATTACCAGTTCTTTCAGGTACACCATAAACGCTAACTATAAAATTTAATAATACGGCCGAAATAATAATTGCAACAAGTCTTGGATTCATTTTTTTTTTTAATATAGTCGTGTAAATTTTATTTAATTAAAAAAAAAAAAAAAAAAGTGTAATTATTATTTAATAATTGAACGGTCTCGTTTATCGTTTATATATAATATATTAATATCAATTATTGGCCAATTAATTATATATTTTACTATAGAACTTGAAATAATATATTCATTCAAAGTTGAATGAGTAAAAAAAGATTTTTAAAAGGTCGAGAATTGGACCATTTTATACTAATTTTTGTCTTGAAAATTCGAATTAAATTTTTAAAATTAAAATTTAAATGGTAATTATTAATCTATTTATTGTACACACTATTAATAAATAAATAAATAAACAAAATAAAAAAATAGAATAAACAATAAATTTCACCAATTAGGAAGCGACCAAAATAACTCTTTCCTTCCTCTCTCATCTTTTTTTAAATTTTTCCTTTTTTCTTGAACATTCCTTGTAGAATGTAAATAAATATGCAAACTAAAAGGAGTTTCCTTCTCTTTTTTCGGATAATTTCATATAAAAAATAGAGAAGCTCGAAGATTAGAAGGGAATCTCATACTTAACGTTCAAAAAAAGATACCACCCCATTAGTTGATTACATTATTGTGTTTTTCTGTTGTGGAATGCCACAAAAACGCCAAAATTTTAAGCAAAAACAACTCATAATAAATAGCCCCAAAAAGAAAACCTAAATGAAAAATGCTGTGAACTTAGGAATTAATTGTAAAAATAGATTTGCTATTATTGGAAAATACAAATTAAACACATTTTTTATTTTTACAATGTTTTTTTTCTAAATTTTAAGATTTCATTTTATCATCATCATGCATGAACCACAATACAATCAATCATCTACTTTGTGTATGTATTATTTTGCTATCGTAATCGTAAAAAAAAACAATGACGAAAACAAAAAGGATGTATGTATACGTATGCGAATTTAAAAAGCAACAAACTAACATTTTACTAATTTGACTTGGCAAACTTTAAATGAAAATAAAAATGTAAATCCTTAAATTGATTTAACAACATAAAAAGAACAATCTTTCATGACCAACTACACGCATCTAACAGTTTTTGTAAATAATTTTCCTCTTAAAAAGTATCTGCGTGGCGTGTGCGTTTTCTTATAGCAATAAAATAAAAAATCACTTGTCACACAAACGGATCTATTTAAAGAGAGGTTCGAAAAGGAAAGGAAACAGTAAAAAAGATTATAAAATTGTTATGTCATAATTTATATAACGACACAAGTAAATCAATCCATTAACATATTAGTATTAGTAGCATTTGGAGGGTTGATATCTATATAAAGCTTTTCCCAATTTAGTCTTCAATAATCGGAAAAAATACTTGCATCTATTTCTATATCAAAGTAAGGTAAAGAAACGACACCTCAAACCAGTCGGTGTAATTGCCAATACCTAACATCAAATTTTATTTTTTAACTTTTTTATAGGATCCACAGGATAGCAGAAATTTCATTGTGCAACTAGAAGCTGTTTTGCAAATTTAGAAACGTGTAACGTGACACCCCGCACTGAAATTTCAACACTGCCAAGCAGTGTTGAAAAATCAGCAGTGCAGGGAATGCGGTGTGTAACATTACACTCCAATCAAAATTTTAGTTTTTGGAAATTTATAAATTTTGTACCAGTTACACGACGAAATTTCAACATTCCCCAAGTTTAGTGAATCTCTTCAAAAAACAAACATAACTGGCAATTCGAATCCAAAACTTGTTGATGTATCTGAGTACAGTATGAACGATAAGAACCTGAAGAAATTTCATTTCAAACACGAAAACATTGTCAATATGGAACTTTAAAAGTAAAAATTTTCATTGAATCGCCTTAATTGTTTTATACTGTGTGATAGATTATAAGCAAAGCCACGAATCGATAACTTGAATTTTTCACGTGAAATTTTAAGTTTATGTTTTTTATTACAAAATATATTAAAGTGCTACAAAAATGAAAAATACTGCCGAAAGGAGGAATACTTTACAATCATATTTTTATTATCTGGCATGTTGTCTAACCAAATTTGAATTTTTTGCGTCAAGGATGACAGATTTTTATAAAATCTAAAAATAAATTAGAAAAAATATCAAAAATAAAATTTTCGATAACGTGACTTTAAAGTCGATCATTCTTGCGTGAGCGTACATAAAATTAGATTGGCTGAATTTTATGCAGAGATTTATATTATTATTTGTTATTATGCTTAAACACACGACCAGACAAATGAACATTAGATTAACACAAGGATTTCAAGGATCAAATTATTTTACATAAATCACAATTTACCAATTGTACTATTATTTACAATTACCATGCTTACATTTTTTGGAGCCAGTAGCAAAAATCAGTAATCAATAATAATATTTATCTAAGAAAAATTTCTTCAGTTGAGCAGTATCAGCACTGATTCAATCTGAACGAGAAAGCAAAGGTTGGACTATTTTTCAGTTTCATAGGTAGATGCAGTAGCAATAAAGACAAACTTGGATAAACCTGCTTCCTGATTGAATAATTCAGTGTATTGCCAAGTAAATATAGAAATCGGATATATTTTCATTATGGTTATTATTATCATTACTAGAATAGCGATACAATCACCAATGGTACTACCGCTACAATCACTAATAGCACAATCGCTACAATCACTAATAGTACTACCACTACTATCATTGATGATTTATTAACAGACTCATTATAATGCTTTGTTTTCAAATTTTCTTCGTGCTGCAAATAAATATTTAAATACTAAAATGGAAACTAATATTACCTTGAATGTATAATTAATAATACATAGACATGTCTTCATTCCATAATGACATATATAACAGATTTAGATAATAAAAAAACTCTTTTAGGCGTCTAAAGTGAGCACAATTAAGAGATTAATGTATAGTAATACAATTTTTTTTCTATAATATGTAATTCTTACTTTCTATTTCTATAAAATAGTTTTTCACGAGTCTTTCTCTAAAGCTTACTAGCCGGTACCCCATAAAATAATAACCATATGAAAGCCAGGAATACTTTAGGGCAACATTGAAAAGTGATTTCAGCTTTGAAGTGAAAAAGTAACGCCAACTTTGAATTTCTTGGCTTTATGCAGGGATGAATAAAGTACTCATTAGAAAATTTTAATTATTATAACTTTAAAAATGAATAATTATTACTGGAATGTCATTTGGGTGTCCCCCAAAATTTTAGTGACCAACAACATTTAACAAATAAAGAATATTTCCAAAAAAAAAAATTTTTTCGATTATAATAATAAAAAAGGTAAATACGTATTAATATGCATGTTGCTAATCCCAATCGAATTAGATTGTGTGGTCGTCAAATACCACCACTAGATGAAACTATTTGTTCGATCTCTTTGTTAGCAATGATGGTGAGGTAATAATGTTCTATAAGAATATTTGTTTTTTTTTCTTTGATGGTCGCGTAATCATATATTAGTTTTTTCTGAAGTGGTAATAAAGGCATTAACTAATCCTTAATATAATTAACCGATAAAATAATATTTCTTGATGGTCACATAAATAAGATTATTCACTACTAGATAGATTGTCTAATCGTAAATCATTTGAAAAAGAGAATAAAAGTGTTAATTGATTCTTAATATTATTATTATTGATAATAATGTCTCTGGTAAAATAATATTTTCTTTTTTTTTTCTCGATGGTCGCGTAACAAGGTTGTTCACTACCAAATATTATTAGTAAAAATTAATTGATTAATTCAACAAGGTTTTGACCATGCAAATCGTGAAAAATCCTTGTGTAATTTTTTAAGGATGTTTTTGAAGTTTCTTCTAAGACATGTAGACCCAGGTTCGGCCAAATCAAGTAGTCTAAAATATTACACATTTAGTGATATTATGTGAAAAAATCAATAAATATAAATAAAATATTTACCATGGACGCTTTTGATAACTGGAAATTTACTCCTATAACAAGTCATCCCAATTTTTAGTCTATAAAACATAACAAAAATGAAAACTTACATCATATATTATTCTTCATTGCTGATGGACGTTTTTTGATTAAAAAAAGTTCCTTCTAACAAAAATCAGCAAATATTTGATCTATCTCATTTCCTTGATATTAGAGTTTTCAGTAGGACATCCATGCAATATCCTACAATAAAATTCAATTCAACAATTGGAAGCGTGTTGTTATTACTAATACATATAAGCCATTAATATAATTTTGACTGTGCCATATATACAAATTGGTGAAAATTTGCAGATAATTTCCAAATTTGGTTAAACCGCGTCAATGTTCCTTGCTATTACTATTTTGACGCCCATATTTAAAAATATTAATATATGATGGTTTTTTTAGCTTAATGGGTATTTTAAAGGAGTATCAAAAAAATTAAAAAAAGGGTCCAATTCTAAAAATCCACACATATTAGTATTAGCATCCAACATTTCGAATTCCAGCAAGTCCAAAATCGAAATTTGAAATTCTAAACTAAAAAAAAATATTGCTTCTAAATTATGTCAAGCAATTTTGATTCTCGAAGCCCTTTATTTGTCAAATTCTAAGAGTGCTGGAAGACCTCTTGACAAATTGTTTGGATGAAACAGGTTCTTTGACGACTTCTAATTCTTGGAACAGGGAGTTTGTCTAATAATAATCAAAAGAAAAAAAAACATTAATCAAAGGGACTGAATGATTTTTATTTTTGAATTAGACTTTGAGTTTTGAATTACTATTAGAATTTCAAATTAGATTATTTCGATTTCAATTTCGAATAAATATTTTTTCGAAAGTTCCAAATTTTATTAATATTAAATGATTTTCGCCATCATGTATGCTCTTGACTTCTTTGAATCTGGTATATTTCTGGTTCTAGGAAAGACATGAATAAGCTATAAGCAAAAAAGTTATTTATTATGATTTTATTTCGAAAGCTTATCATTTTCACTAATTATTTTTGAGTTAATAAAAGATTTAATTACACATTTAATCAATATGAACAATAATTTTGGAAAATCGATGCATAAAATAAGGGAGAACTAAGGATAGAGTTTGTTTCACCAACAAGCGAACGTGAAAAGGAAATTTGTTGAAACATTATCTAATTAAAATTATATACACACAAGGAAAATATTATTCACATGTAAAATAAATCTTTATTCATTATTCATTTATTGCAAATAAATGAATAAATAAATAAATAATCTTCGTTTTTTAAGAAAATCATGGTTTCTTTCATCCATATTAATTCTGTTTTAAAGTTTTTTTTAAAGGGTTAAGCTTTTCTTTTCTAATCAAGTCATGTACTTCTTTTTGGAGATTGAGTTAGTGTCAGAAGGGTCACTGCTAGTGCTACCAACAGACACAGCTGTTGATGGTTGTTGAGTAGCAGTTCCATTCTCTGGAATTGTTGAAGCCGTCGAGGTCGTGAATGATGATGATGATGAATCTAGTTTTTTTCCTGGAGCTTCAACAAGAGCAGGAATTGTAATTGGTGTTGTTGATTCATCTTTGGATATTAAGTGGCCGTTTTTTAGAGTAGGCAATGTTGTTGAATTAGACTGTGGTGTTATTGATGATTTTGATTTCGTTTTACCATTATCACTTAATAATTGTTACCTGCAACATTTTCACAAAATTTTTTCATTAATAATAAATTGAGAGCTGTCGTTATTTTTGCACACCATCTTCACTCTATGTAGTCTATTTTATTGATATATAATATTAGATGGGTAGAAGAGGGCACATTCAAAAAGGCTTCTACTCCTACCTTCCTTTCCTGTTTCTTGATAATGCCCCACCCTAAAGACCAGGCAACAAATAGTGGACCACAAATCGCACATTGGGTCTGCCAGTCTATTATATATTAGAAAAATTAATGTAATTCTTGATATGTATCATATTAATAAAAATTTAAAAATTATATATAATTTATCCATTCCAAAAGCAGTGGTTGCAACAACAACCTGCAACTCTCATGCATCCATTGATATTAGTTGGCAACTTTTTTACATATGAATGGCAGAAAAATTTGAATGTTGTGCACTTTTTTTTTAAAGTGCAATAAATAATACCTGATAATCTTTAATGAATTTACAAGATATTTTTATCACCATTATCATATTTGGCCGATTAAACACTTGTTGTAGAGCTTTACAATGTTGAATTTCTAAAATTTTTATGATGTCATGTTAACTTCATGAGTTGCGGTCAGAGCAATAATAGATATATTCTTTTTATGAGCATCATCAATAGCAAATCTTGCTAATTGATTTTTCTCCTATAAAAGTTTTATTGCTGAAGAAAATTTTGGTATTTTTATTTAACATCTCAGGCGTTAAATATAATATCTTGCAACTTGGTATAAACATTTTAATAGACTGGTCACTTGACTCAATCAGGTGACTTTATAAATTGAGTCACATGTATAATGGTGATATATCCACGCACGTCTTTTTAGATTATAAACAAATGATATCACAACATGGTTCAAAGAAATCATCAGATACTAGATGGAAAAGATAGTTTTGTACTAATAACAAATGGGAAAGTCCGATTTATCCTAAAGTCTTTTAACTTGGACACATTGTAAAACATTTTCTACCACCTTTAACTGATTGTCAGTTGTTGGTGGTAATGGTGAATAAAATTTGGAAATTTGTTGGTCACTAAGTAAATACAAATATAAGAAATAATGCAATGTAAATTAATTAACTAGAATGACAAGCTCCAGGTCAATAATCATCACCTCTTTTTTTTTTAATAATAACCAGAAAAGCCCTCAAATTATTTTCTTCTAACAATGCTTGCTCAGATATTGTTTCTTTCTTTGTTGATTTTTATCTCCTTTTGTTAATGAAGACATTTTTTTAGAAAAAGAAATTTATTTAGCGAAACACGTCAATAAAAATATTTTTTTCTTTACAACACGCCTTAAAGAAAGACTCAATCGGGACTCATTAATAAATATTTTTTACTAATAACCAGAGATTTACTTTTTGTATTGACACCTTATATTTTTTTTTTATAAAATCAGCCTAAATATCTTATCGACATCAAAACGCGGAGCAAAATTTATGCCTTTTACATTATAGATAATAAACAACCTGTTGGTATTTGCTTTGCATAATCGTTATTAAGATTAAGTAATTATAAGAAATATAAGAAAAGCAACACAACTATTGAAGATCACTATCTTTTTCTCGGAAAACTGCTCCTAGACAACCTAGGGACACGAAACAATTCGATATGTGACGTTTGATTATTGGAAATTGACAACAGACGTTGAAGTGTATTACCTCCAGGGTTCAAATATTTAAAACATTGCAGTTATTTTCATCTTCCTCGTGTACATAAATAAATGTAGTGTCAATAATAGGAAATTTATGGTTACAAATGTATTGTTATTAACGTTAGGAATTATAATTATCTAAAGAGTTATTGTTGAACTAGTTATTCTTTAACTCAAACAAATTCTAAACATTTAAATACTTCCTGAAATGGTAGATTCAATGTGACTTGTACTTTTAAGCTGATCAAGACTTTCTGATGATACATTGATGCAAATAAATTCAGGGGAAGGCATGATCCTAAAATTTATTGAAACTGCAAAGAGAGTTCCAAGCCCTCTCACTTGTTCAAAGCCTTGGGTCTTCACCCGTGAAAAAATACCATGGGACGAAAGTATGTGAGAGCACCCAACCACATGATTGAGAGAAACTTACTGAATCTGATATTTGTGATCACTATCAGTCAGATTTATTCATTTTTTTGGGGGGGGGGATTTTGAAAGTATTATAACACGTACAGCACACATGCGCGTCTACACAAAAAACGGGAGACTTGACCACTAAAGTTTTCCCGCTACCACTTGGATGTCAAGGTGATAGTCCATTATCCCACATGGAAAGAAGTCATGGATTAAAAATACCATGCATTTTCTCTTTTTTGCTTGTCAGGACATTATGTGGCTTTCCCAAAATTGGTTTTTGTTTCTGCATGGTCCTAGTATTATTATTATTACAATTTATCAACTTTATTTATTTATTACATCAAATATGTTGTTGCCTAATCATCATGAACATTGCAATAGTCATGATACATAGTGGGGACAGAAGCATCCACGTTCAAGGGAAGGATTAAAAAAGATAATTTATTTTTGATTCAACTAAAGGAAAGAACAAATAATGATTTTAATTTATACATTATAAAATAAAAATCACCAGAGCAGTTGCATGGAATGTAAAGTACTTGAACTTCAAGCCATTGATGAGGATCACCTATTTTTTGATCATTCTGGTGGATATTACTATACTATTTTATCATCATTATCATTACTATTACTAACATTAGTATCTTATTTACCTTCTATGTTCACCTCCTCTTATATTTCTTTATTCTTCTCATTAACCACTCCTGAATTGTTTCTATTGTTCTCTTCCAGGGTTTGTTTTTTGTTGATAGAGGTTTTTTGCGGTGGAGATAGCAATTACTTTTCTTTCTACATAATTTGCAGATTTCAGTTACCCTTTCACTAAATGTAAATCTGGCTTCAATTCAGTATTTTATCAAATGATTGTTTAAAACCCTTTCGCAGTTCCTCAATTTCTTTCAAGTATTTTTAGTTTACTCAAAAAAAATTTTTTTTTCTCATACTCTTCTGTATTAATTATTTTGAAAATTCTTTGGTTGATATTATAGAATTGGTTATTGTATCTAGGGTTTCGAATAGATATGATCATATCAGATTTGAAAGAAATCTGGTTTGATTTGAAACCTGTTTAAGCTGATATTATCTATAAATTAAAGAATTACTTATGAATTAAGACTTTATGAAATTTAAAAACGCCTTGAGGTTACTTATAAATTAAGAATTACATTGTGGATTTTATTATTTTTTGAATTAAATATATTATAATGACAAACACCAATGTATCTATAATTTATTTGATTTTTATTAAAAAATCTATTTCTCACCTTGTAAAAATATATATTATATATAATACTGTATATAATTATCTACAGATCCGATAAAACAGATTGCAATTTAATAATTATAATATAATTATAATAAATGAATTTATAATAAAATTTGCACGATTATATCCAAAGTTTTATTATTAACTAATATCTAATTCACATCAGAATAGCCTTTAAACAGTCTTTGGGATCGAGACCAACACATCCCTAATATTTTTCAAAATTTTCACGTATAGAACATTATTTAGTACAGAGGCGCAGATGTACGAAATAAGGAACCTGTGTATACTCAAAAGGTTGTGTTAATTAAGCATAGTACAAAATATAATATGGAGTTTTTCGTTAAACGCTTTTGTCAAGGTTGGAGCCGGTTGCAACATAAATTCGGTTCCAATTTTTCCATATTCGAAAAACCAGATTCATATCAAATATTCTTTTCTGTAGATAATTTCGACAGATTGATATTATGGTGGATTCTTTAAATGGTGGGATGTGAATAAAAATAATTTTCCCGGTTCGTGTTATTATTTCTATTTTATTACTTGTACAGTCATATCCCGAATCTATGGGACGCATAAAAACATTGCATTTAAAATTTGTTGTACGAAAATTAATAATCGCGTTTTAACGAATTTTATATGTTTTTATATGTGAAACAAAAGAATTTTGTTGTAATGCGAATTTAATTCGTAGAAATGAGGCTTGACTGTATATATTATTATTATATTATGTAGGGACAGCGTCATGAGAACAGTTCAGGTAAGCAAGTAGCGCAAGTGTAATAACACTGGTTTGCGTGTAAATTACATGTTTACATTTAAATTATTACGCTATAATTAATGGACATGTATGTATATAAGCAACCCGAACTACTATATCTGTAAAATACTTTTTCTTGAATAAAGGAAATAATAACAAGTTTCGACTTGGAAAACAAATAACCCTGTTAAATAAACAACCCAAGACCATTTGCTAGTAAAAATTTATTTCGTCTGATCCTCATTAATTAAACAACATTAAAACTATAATTGGATTATCAGTTTACCAGTTGCAAACCGGTTTTGCTGTTTTATTACAACTAGGTATCTGGTTAAAAAAACCGGTTTTATTTAAATTTGGTTCAAACCGGTTCTGATTTTGGAAAAGGTGATTAAAACCTCTAATACTAAACAAAACATGTTCCTTTACAAAACTATATTGAATATACTGCTGAGAGCCATAATTTTCATTGTAGGTAAAAAAAAAATTAAAATGCTTACTAATACAATATATATCCCTTTATTTTTTTAATAAGAATAAAAGTTAGCGAACGTATAACAAAGTTAGCGAATTTGAGATTGACACTTGCCAATTTAATTAGGCATCCACCATAAGTGTGTACCTATTAAGGAACTTCCATTTTACGCATGTTTCCATGATGATGACTAAGGGTTTGAAGCTAGAAGATATCATTCTATAATAATATTTCTAAGCATAGTGGACATTCTTGTCGATCACATTTGAATCACGTGAAAATTAATTTTGATTGGCCTAAAAATCATATACTCTCAACAATTTAAAATGCAATGCATGTCTAAATGAAAAACATTTTTGGAACTTATTATCCATCAGTCATTCAATATAACCGTTACATGAATAAATTGTTCAAAAAGAAAAATTTTTTTTTCATATAATTTTATTTAGAATTTATTTTCACAATGATGTTCAA